ACACATGTCTATTTTTAGTTTTTTTACGGTCTATATGATTATATTCGTATATAAGCTATTTGATACTTCTGTCCTTGCTTTGAAAGATACCATATTTAATATTTTTTATTTGTGAACTTATGTAGAATTAGTTCACAATTTTTTTCGCAATAACATATTTCGCAATCTATCCTTAAAATTACTAAAATGTATTTTCAGTTTTTTCCGGGTCAGTGTGATTATATTAGAACAGAAGCTGTTGTATAGGTATATACTTCTGTTCTTTCTTTCAAGGTCAAATGTACGTAAATTAATATTATTTTATTGTTAATCTCGTTATTTATTATTATTTTGTGTTAAGGTTTATATTTTAAAGCTTTAATTATAAAAAAGTACTTGTTTTTTTGTCTGTCCCGATTTACAACCCCATATCCCGATTAATTACACGCGCTGTCCCGATTAATTATAAATTGGACCTGGCAACACTAGTAGTAGTGACACGGTTTTGATGCTTGGGCGAATGAATGAAAGATATACTTTTAGAATAAAAATTTTCTTATTTAAATTATAATAACTTAAATATTATTAAATTTTTTATATTTAAATTTATATGATTACATGAATATGTTCACATCAGATGTTTTTTTTTACGAACTGTCATTTCAAATTACGAAAAAATTTCAATTACGAAAGGTGAATAATAATAAAAAGAAATGGTGTCGAAGATCAGAGACAATAAGTTTGCATGCGGAAACCAAGGACGAAATAAACGGTGCTACGACGTCCCGTTACAGCAGTAGGCTTATAATGACATCATCATCAGTCCTTATATGTCCCCATAGCAGGGGCCTTCCTAATAGAGGGCTAAGGAGGATGGGTTATGACCCTCCATGCTGACCCAATGGCGATTAACGTCTGCAAATGCAGCTGGGATCAATGGCTTAACGTGTACTCCGAAGCATGGAGTAGCTCAAGATACTAATTTTTGGTAACCCATCCCGCGACCGACCTTTGCGAAAGTGGCTTTAAAATATCGATCGTCGGCCTTGACGTTTATCCACTACGCCACCGACCTAATAATGATAATTAATAAGGAAATAAAAGACCAACGCACGGCCTTAGTGTAATATATTATTAAAGTGGCACAGATGCAGATGAGGTGTAAGATAATAATTATGTGCAGTTACGTTTTAAAAAGTCCGTAACCTGAAATCGTTTCTGAAGACTCATAAAAACTGGTAAACTGGCAATTCAATTAGATAATATGCCGAGTACGCGACATTCATTATGTACATGGTTTATGATACAAGACAGAATATAACGTTTTCATTTACGAGTATATTTCGCATTCCAAAGTTTAAAGAAATTAAGTAAAATATTGGGATATATACATCAACTAGCTTTCATCCAGCGGCTTCGCCCGCGTGGTCTTGTATTATACATAAAAACCTTCCTTTTGAATCACCCTATCTATTAAAGAAAATCGCATCAAAATCCGTTGCATAGTTATAAAGATTTAAGCATACATAGGGTTATATGGAGCATACATAGGAACAGAGACAGCGACTTTGATTTATACTATGTAGTGATTATTTGACAAATATTTTCGTTTTCAATTTTTTTTCCTGCATATATTTTTTAATTGAAAGCGAGAGAAAAGGTTATAATTATTTTAAATGTCCTTAAAAACTAACGTTGTAAATCCGTTGCCCATGGACATCTTAGAGCAATAATTTACAGGCATTTAATGATATTGAGTGAGGGACCCTCAGCCACAAATTATATTATTCAATTGATGACCCAGCACGCGGGCCCAATGCGGAATTTTTGGTGTTAACCACTGCAGATGCAGCCGGGACAAGCGACTAAACGTGGCTTCCGAAGCACGATAGTAAATTTTTGGTCACCCATCTTATGACCGGCCCTTACGAAAGTCACTTAACAATCGTATGCCAGACCGAGCGCTGAAATTTCAAAACATTGTGTGTTATATGGTGTCTCTTGGTAATTTTTACATGAACATGTTATTGATGGGATACAAAATTATATAACACATAAATTGAATTATAGTTCCCTACATTGCACTTCGAACTGAGGCCTGTGATAAAGACATTTTCGAAATTTCTTTTTCTGTTTTTGCGACTGCAGATGTGCCACACCTAAACCAAGATTTTGCGTGGAATGAATGCCTTTGTGTTCCACTCCACCCACGCCTTTGAAGTTCCGTGGTGTCACTGTGAAAAATTCACGGCTAATAATAACTTTAGTAGCTTTCAAAACAAAAATAACTTATGTTAAAATAAAATAAAAGTCAGACAATTGAGAGATTGTGAACAAAGCGTCAGATGGTTATGATGTTGTGTGCCAAGTGTCAGTTTCAGAGTTCTATTGAGAAGTTGAGACGTTTCCTGGATGTTTGAAATAGCTTTACAAAAAACCGGCCAAGTCCAAGTGAGGATCGCACATTGAGGGTTCCGTAGAAAGTTTTTATTTAAAAAAATAACTTCAAACTTCTCGGAGTTGAGTATATTAAACGGCGTACTTTTTTAAATAACTAATTAAGTTTATTTGTTCATATTCTTTGGGTCACTTATTTTACTGCGTGTAAAATATTCTATTGTTTAAAAACTAAATCTTTTAAAAAGTGTATTACTTTACAAAGTGACCGTACCAGCACAGGTTCTAAGCTATCTTACTTAGGAAATCTTAAATGCAATTCAAGACAATAATACCGAAATGTTTATTTTTGTACCGGTATTTACTGAATCTTGAAGCCGCTCGATTGTGGATCTTTGAATAGAACAAGCCAGTAGTAATATCATTATAACATCGCTAAGATGTCATAAATCCTATGTCTTATTATCTAGAGAGTAAGCCGATCGTACCTGCAGAGCCACTGCCTTACTCTCTAGTCATAGGATACGATATCTTATCGATGATAAGATGGTATCTCGTTTCATCTTATAATTTTGACATGACTTTTGGTGAAAAATTTGTGATAAAAAAAAATTGGTAACGCTGCTGTAAGTTTATAATCATCGTTCTTTATCATTCGTTCCTTGCTTACAAAATAGTAAAATGGAACGAAATATCGACACAACAACTAAGATGTCCCTATGGCTAGAATAATGGCTACAGTTTTAGGCGCTAAAACGTGATCGTATATATAAAGGTATGAATACCCGTAGGTGCATGTTTTAGCGCTCTATTCGCGTAACCATTTTTGCAGTCTCGATCATACTTTTTCACCAGCTCGCGTCGGTTTCACTCACAAACTCGAGAACGGTTTGTCTATACTCAAATGTCACTCCTTGGGTAAGCCCCCTATACGATATAATACACTAAGGAGACGAGTGACTACTTGTGCAGGGATGTACCTATACCTTAAGACAGATTGGTAGGGTCACGTCCAGTGGCGTAGCTAGGTAATCTAGGGCCCTGGGGCAAATAAAAAAATGGGGCCCACTGCTATCAAAACTGGTAAGGTTTTTTGAAGTAAAATCATTAAATATACATATAAATTTATCATCACCTCTTTTTCGTGCATAGGCAGGTAATAAAACTATTAAACACTAACAACATAAATTACAATTATTTTTATACTTGGTGTAGGTATTGGGCAATAAAACGAAATAAAAAGGTTCAAGGGTTTATTATATATTTATTTAATCATAGATACGTTGCACCAGTTTACTGTTATTTAACCTATCGCCATGCAAGCTATTTACAAAAATTATCAATAGAAATATTTGATCCAGAAGTATTGCAGAAGGCTGACTAAAAAACTTGTCAATTTTGGGCAATTTTTATTTACTTTCTCCTCTTTCTCTGCGTTGTTTGCGTTTAAATGCACCACCGGGTTTCTTTTTTTTTTGTCCATAATATTAGTTTTCTAATTTATTTATGCAATATTTATGTAAAATTGTACTCAAGTAGGTACTCACTGTTCACTGACAACGTTACAAGTAAAAGGAAAGCGAAACGTGAATGAATGAAAATGACACGATACAAGGCGTCGTTGGGGAATCCCCGGCAAACGCTTTATCGCCGTCAGTGTTACTACATTTGACGGTTTGACGGACTACAATCAAATAAAATTGAACTTTTGTATTGACCAGTACAAAAAACTCCTGATACAATAACTTTTTAACCATTCTCGAAAAAAAAATCTTGACTCGAAGTTCACAATCGCGAATCACAAAAACGCATATCGATAAATAATAATATGCAGATACTGATTTCCAACAAATTGATGAAAACATTAATAACACTGTCAACCCACACAAATAATTTACTCGATTATTCCCTTTTTACCCGACTGCGCGACGCAAAGGAGGGTACCTAATTATAACTTTGGAATTACTCACAACTGAGTTTCCATGATTAAACTCGAGTTGTCACCTGTCATTTTTATTTTGAGGATGGGAGAAATTTTCAAAAGATGAGTTCGATTGAGATTTTCTGGTAAAGATTCGAGGGCCCCCTGAGCTTGAGGGCCCTGGGGCACTGCCCCGCCTAGCCCCTTAGTAGCTACGCCACTGGTCACGTCCTCATAGCTTCGAACGATCTTTTCAGTTTTTAATATGGAATAGGCTCCGATATTTTTTTTACCTACGGAAAGTTATATCATATGCGAGTGAGATAGGATAACGGGGATAAAGTCGCGGGAAAACAGTTAGTTTTTAATACATATCAGAAAACAACAATTAAATACTTTAAAATTCGAAATTACGAATATTGTAGGTAATATTAGTTGAAATTTGTTCTTGGATTTAATGTTACAATAGCGTTAACGAACTGTTATCTTCCTACCTTTTTCGAAATGGCTACTTCCTTCAGGTTTAAATATTATCGTTTTATAGTTAGGTATTGTTGAAATAGTTACAAAACAAACCCCTTTTTAATTGATTACTTGACGTAAACTAGGTACTACTAACAACACAATCACGCCGGGATCATATTCAATCTCGAAATTCAGCTCTGAAATTCAGCGTACGGGAGATGGACGAGATTTTCCCGCCAGTTTCTCACGAGATACTGAATGCTGCGGGCGTCCGTGCCGCCATTACGCCTCTTGCATTCGATTTCGCGCCAACTTTGTATTTCAAAAGTTTATATTTTCGAAAATGGAACTGTTGTTTCTCTAAAATTAAGTATTAATCCTATGACGTAATTCGATTGTGAAGTTTCTGTCATCCTGAATAAATTTCAGTTTACATCAACGCAACACTTTTTTGTATTGTGATTGTAATCTGTGTTTTTTAGACAGATTCACTTGAAAAGAAGAATAAGCAGGTTAGTGCTTCCTTTGTAAGTTTCATTGTATTACAAAAAAAAGAAAAATATGCAGTTATAATTTTTTTTTTAAATATTTGGGTGCCAATTTTATTATAAGATGATATCTAACAATGTTCACTAGTTCTGATTTCCCAAAAGCTAACAACCAATTAAAATAAGTTTTCATTATTGTTATGCAATTCAGTAAGAATTTAATTGTAATTTAAAAACAAAACCGACTTCAAGAAGCTTAATTAAAGTGAAAAATAATTCAAGACATTGCTATTAAAATCGGGCGGTTAATATTATAAACTTTTAAAAGTCTTATTAGAGTTCTATTATCAAAGGTCATTTATTTGCGAGGTGTAAATAAAATTCCTTGCGTTATTTTTCTTGGTTATGCTTTAATAAGCACTATAGAGGTTCAATCAAATAAAACCTATTGCAAACGGTTATAAAAGTTTTATGTAATTGAACTTTAATGCTATTATAGCGCTGTGCACGTTGAAAAGCGTAGGAATAGCTATCAGTTCTTTGGTTTAAAAAAACAATTGTATTCCGAATTACCTAATATAAAACAGCTATCTAATTTGTACCCCTAATAATTATATAATGGAAACTTGTCATTGATAAAGCGCAATTTATTACTTCTATTATCCTGAGTGTGTAAATTTAGTCATGGTATATTTATTATTATAAAATAAAGGGATGAAGACTATTTTTTTGTTTCTCTGTCAGATGGATTGTTGAAAGATATTAAACGTTAATTTTTTGCGTAATCAATAAAATAATTATGGCATAACTTCACCATTGTACATTGTCTACATAGTTCCCTGTCTTTAACTTTGATGCCTATTATTTAAGCCATTTCTTACTAAATTGAAGCAAAGAAAAATTAAATATTTAATATTATGTGAACACGGAACCTGTAAAGGGTCCGAAACGAAACCGAAACCAAATACAAACGCGATGAAACCGTTTAAAAGTTATTTTAAACGGTTTCATCGATCTAAAGTGATTTTTTTTTTTTACTCGGGCGTCATTCCCTAAACAGATGAATCGCAATAGATTAAAAAAAGCATTTTTCTCAAGTAGTAGATGAGTAGGACAAATACAGTTCATTATGCAGTTAGTAAAGTAGTAAATATTCTTTGTTTTCCTTGAATTACTTTTACAACAAGTAAATGTGAATATGCAACCAGGGAAGGATGTACACCCGGAATAATTTTAGTCGGCCAACCTCATCTAGAAAAACTTTCCGTGCCTTCGTAACGGTTACATTCTCTTTTGTTTACCTATTTTCATTTAATTTATCGCATTCCACAATGTAGTAATAAGATTTTACAAAAATAAAAGTATCATTTTGGCCCCTTTGGGCGCAATAAATTACGAGAGGCGAGGACATTGTGCTTTAAAATGTAGGTAACAAGTATTTAATTTATTAAATAAACTAAGTAGTTTATGTTTTGAAAATTCATTTTTTGTAATAATTTATAAATACTATAAGATACAAACCTAGAATATTATATTTAAATTATAGTTAAAGTTTTTCACATACATATTCTTGTACGGTATAATAGAACTTTTAAAGATTGTAATTCTTTATCAGTTTTATGTAATGTTTTCCTTTAATAATTTTTTCATTGAATTTTACAAATGATTGTATTTTTTTATTGACATTGCTAGTGGACCAGAAGAGTGTAATTTTAAATGGGAGCTTGCTATGGCTAGTTTTTCCGTTTACGTAAATTATATCTAGATTTTCTTCACGTTTTTTTATAAAATTCTGAGTTTATAGTATTATTCAGTTAGGTAACAGTTTTACTTGCCACTGTACTTAATAATTAAGAAGGAGTAAAGAGAAAAAAAATACGTGAAGCACATGTAGTGTAGAATTGCCAGGGTCAAGTAGGTCACCCCTGTATTTTGCTACCCATAAGAAGGTAGTTCAAACGGAAAACTGCGTTTCTCCTAACTAGCTGGCTAGAAAACAGCGAGCTGGAAATTTAAGTAGGCAAGCAAGTAATATTCAGCTTTAATCTTATAAACTTAAAGTATCAAATTCTTTATAACAAGTAATTAAATATATTTGAATCTGGCTAATATCTGATGCTGTGGCTGAGTCAAGGAAAAGTTTGGGAAAGTTGTGTCAAAGCGCTTATAAGATTTTAACGTTGTTATGGGGTCGAAATAAGAAAATTTATTTTCAATGTGTACTAATTAAAAAAAAATCGAGAAGATGGCCAACCCAGTAGTAAGCACGTTCAGTGTACGATGCAGACGTTAAGCAACTTTCACAAAGGCTGTTCATGAGATGGGTGACCATAAAATATTATGACGAGCCATTTTTTGGAAAGCACGTGTAGCCGTTGGCCTCGGTGCTTCAGCTATACACACACTCATGGCTCATTCTCTCTATTTGATTCCAGGATTCCGTAATGATGAATTACAAACTACAGACTTTTCATCATCATCATCATCATTAGGCCTTTTACGTCCCCAATGCTCAACTTTTATTAGAAAAATATTTGATAAAAAAATTAAAACATCTATTTTAGTTGGAAATATAACAATCAGTTCGAATATAACATAGAAAATATTCATATGATTTTATGATTCATATTCAAATGGCATTTTTTTTTATACTTAAAGAATCATCGACGGACAAACGGCAAATAAGTTTATGTAAAACTAGATAATGGATATTTTTATTTGCAATAATAATTATTTTAAGTAGAAACAGTCATTGAGCTTTTTTACGATAGCTTAATAATTGAAATAGATTTTGTATTAATTTAGCTACCAGGTGTCTGTGATTGATGAACCGTTTACCCAGTGGCGTAACGTGCCTTGGCGGGGCCCCGTATATAAATTTGTTTGGGGGCCTTTATGGAGGGTACAGATTTCTTACAATCAGAAAATAAATGTTTGATTAAATGATTATTATTATAGATTGTGCGAATTTTAATCGTATGTACATAGATTATTGTGAGATTCTCCCGTTGAAGTAAATGACTTAAACGAAGAAAGAAAGCCCGGAGTCCACGAAAACCGTAAATGTATGGTGTTGCCAATTTTGAAACGCATGCTTTACTTGTTTTTTTTTTACTTTTGTCATTTCTGAAATAAAAAGAAATTTGGGAAGTTTTTATTAATTTTTGCTTACGCACGTTGGGGGCCTCCGTGCCCCGTGGGCCCCATATAATTGATACGGCAGATACGGCGGTAGCTACGTCCCTGTGTTTTCTTTGTGCAGTCCTATAATATGAAACAGCTGTTGATTTTTTTGTATTAATAGGCAATGAACCTACAGAAAAGTCTTTATTCAAATGTGGCCTACATTTGAATAAAGACTTGGACGTCCCGTCCATATAGGAAAACTAGGCAACTGCCTAGTGCTCTCGCATTTGGAGGGGCGGCATCGGCATTGTATACAGATTATGTTTACTCTAATTACTTGAACCTTGAACATGTAGTAACTCACTAAATTTACTTTTGTTCTTTGAATATTAGTCTGATATGGACTATAATGCAGTATTCAAAAGTACAAAATTTTCAGACCACTAGTATCTAAAGAGTTTCTTTTGTCATTGGCAAAATTATACTTTTTAATAGGTACACCTATGTACTTTTATCTTTTGTTTTGTTGTGATATTTATTGGCGTCGTTTCTTTGTTTTGCCTAGGGTGCTAAGTTCGATTGTGCGGGCGCTTTTTAAATGTAAAATACTCTAGGATAAAGAATATTTTGAAAAGGTTCCAGACCCGAGGCAGTATAGAAAATCCATTTTCTATAACGAACCGATCGCTAGTCGAACTTGGAAGAAGATTAACAACATGTCTCAGCACGAGTAGATGTCATGACTCAAAACCAACCTATCTCTATGTAAAAATAGGGATAGGTCCGTTTTGCCTGTGATAATGGTGATAGGCCGGTTGTGCATCTTAATTTATTAAGTTTTAAATAAATTGCAACAGATAAGTAAGAATATAAAATAAAGCTTTTGTCCGCGACTTTAAGTCAAGAAATGAGAAAATTCTTTAAAAACTTCCATGCACCAATTTACCCTTTTAGTGGACGAATTTCATAAAATTCCGTCTTATTGAGCACATATATTTTAAAAAGAATCCGCATGCAAAATTTGAAACTCCTAGCACTAGTCGTAACGAAGTTTCATACAAACTTTCATCCCCTAATTTACCCCCTTAGAGGTAGAATTTTTAAAAATTCTCTCTTAGTGCTCTTCTACACTCCCTAAGGAATCTGCATTCCAAATTTCAACTTTCTACGCTCAGTAGTTTCGGTTGTACGTTGTCTGTCAGTCAGTCAATCAGTAACTGCTTGCTAAAATTCTATATATATATAGATTGTTTTTGCACTGACGGCCTAAATGAACATATAGCGCAATCTCGGCCGATTTAAATTTTTTGATATTTAAGTAGAACAAATAAAGTCATGCCATAATACTTCAACTTATTTACATAAAATAATAATTATACACCAAAGGATTTCTAATGAATTATTCTATCTATGAGAGAAACCGCAGGTCAAACTCAAATTCAAAACCCGCAACTGAAAATAGTTTTAAAGTTTAAGTTTGATAAACGTGGCCAAAGGGTTATTCACATACCTACTATCACCTATCTACATTTATAGGATAGGGATTCTTTAATAGATTTAAAGATATTTTTATACAATATTATTCAATATATTTATAGTATTACAATTAAACAAATATTATAATTTTAAAGCTACAATACATATTGCGGAGGCGTTCAAAAAGAAAGATTATCTATCAGCAAGATAGGACAACGCTAATACGAACGAAGGAAAAGGTAATAATTCAAAATATTAGCGGCCATTATTGACCATAAATCGGCCGGAGAGTAAACCTACCTATAGTGATGTGCACTACCTACCTTTGCCCGCGTAAATCATAAATTGTGTTACCCCTGTATGATGTAGTTTTACGTAGGTGGATGAATTTTAAAAATCGTTTTATTAGTTTCAGAGCCTAT